ATTTTAAGCAACTAAATTATAAAACTTAAGGTACCAGTGTTTCTTAAATATCTTTTAAATTCAAGAATTCTATATATATGATAATTCATTATACAAGTCTTTCAAAATTTCAATACTTTTTTGAGCAATAATAATTTAATTTGAATAAGTAACTATTAAATACTTTTCAAAAACATTTGTCTTTCTTTTAGCTTCATAAATAAAATTTTATATATTTGCAGATAAATTGTTTTTGATTTTTATTTAATAACAAAAATAAGGTGTATGAATTTCCATAATGAGTATCGGAATCGTTGTATTTTTATTTTTTAATGTACTATCTTGAGATAACGAAAAAAACTGTACATAATGGTTTATGAATATTGATATTGTATGAAGACAATTTATCAATTGTGGTTATAAATAATCTAAATTTAGTGTTGATATTTCATTTTGAGTCAGAAAATTGATATATTCACTATTATTTGATTTTGTAGGTTTTTCTAAATTTGTATGTTGCTGAGAAGTATACCCTTACTTTAGTAATTTTTGTATAAAATCTTGTGATACAAATCAGATTTTACATTCTCACCAATGAATTTTTATTTATTTTTACATAAAAGTAAGGCTAGAATTTGTAAATATTTAAAATAAACATTCGAATTTTAATACTTTTATTTATCTTTTTGTTGCCATACAGAGATAAGAAACTTTTATTAACTGATTTATTAGAATTAATAAGATTTTGATAGAATTTAATAAAAACATACATGACGTTTAAAACTTCTTTTGTCCTAAATATTTTAAGTTATAAATTATTTAAATTAATGTGACTTGTCTGTGAAAATGTTATTACAATTTAGTATTTTTCTACCAGTGTAAATTTACGGTTAATAATAAAATTTCGATTTGATTCACTATTTTTTGCAATTTTATCAATTTCAAAAAAATTTTTTTTTTGTTTTTTGATATTCTTTAATAGAAACTCTTAGAAATAACATTCTCTTTAAAAAAATTTATTTGCATGGTAATATTTATCATTTTACTTCATAAAAACAGTTTACTTGTCCGATTAAGTTATACATACATGAAAACAATTTTATCAAAAGAACCAACATTTTTTTCTATAAAATAATAATAGTCTGTAATCACGTCCTATAACAACATTCTCGACAGCTTTGAAAAAATAAACTATATTCTCAGATCCACTGCTTTTTGAGCCATACACGTATTAATAGACATTTCATCATTTACCAAGACGAAAACCCTATATTAACTGCAAATAAGCCAGAAATTTTTATTTTCACACTGCCAAAAATGCATGAAAGCACATCCACTCGACTTTTAACTTCGCAAGTAAAAGTTTGACTTTGCAAGTATGAAATGAAAATCAAAAGAAAATTCAAACGGAACACAGTCGGCAAGCCCATCTTATCTCATCGCTGAATTCCTCATTACGTCTGTCGTCGCTCGCACGCTTCTATAGACACACCTCTTTGACCCCACCCTTTTCTCCCCAGTTTTCTTCTCATCTTTCTTGGGCTCTTCGTTATAGCCTCCAAGCTGTTTTCTCTATACCAACTGGTACTTGGTAATGCCTTACTTTTGTCTCTTTCTCGCTCCCTCTGTCGCGGTCTTTCTTTTATGTATGCTGTTCTTTTACGTTGCGTCGCGAGCCTCCCATTTTGTTACTTTGATTTTCACGAAAAATTTTTTCCAAGCTTAAAAAAAAAATAATAATAATTACTTATTCAACTTACATGACATATTTCTATCTTGAAACTACTAAAGGAAATAAAGAAATCCGTATTGAAAATGAATACGGAGACAAATAAGTCAAAAGCTATCGTCTCGAACTTTTTCTCGAGGATGCAGATTTGATGTAGCAACTTGGAATAAAAGTATAAGTGTAATACGAAGAAAAAAAAGGTGCCAACTGTCAGGATCATCAAATACGTATTATTATGGTACTTTTATTTCTATTAAAACGAATACATTTTTTTGTAAAAACATTTAAAAATACAGTCAATTTGCATTAAAATAAAACTAAACTCGGCTTCGCCTCGGGCGTTTATTCACGTGAAATCTAAGACATTCTTAACTTCGCACACTACGTGCGTAATATACTTTTCCGCCCTCGGGTGGTTTTGGGAGGCTGGTACTTCCTCGGGCGAAAAAGCAGTTTTCCGAAACTCGTTCGAAAAGTCTCCTTTACGAACCTCGTTACGTCCCTCACCTTCGGCTCGGGCCGCAAACCTCTCGGTTCGCAAACAGAGACTTTTCAAACTCGTAGGAAAACTACTATTTCCACACACTTTTTCCGTACACTATGCGGGAAAATCGATTTTCGACACGAGAAATAGTGCGGAAAACACTTATTTTCCGCATGCTGTTGCGAAAAAAAATTATTAGAAGACGTTTTGGTTAAACGGTCTTGCATTTTTTTTGCTTACAATTTTACCAGTGATGACATTCCGTGACGAAAATATTGTAAGGAAGATTTAAAAACACCCTGCACGTATATGGTTTCATCTAAGTTTTGGTAGGGATTTGTCACGTTAAATGCCATTTTTTTTTAAAATAGATGAGGCAAATCATTTTATTGATGAATTTTAATGAATATATTCAATATTTTGAGGCTTTTGGAGACCACAAATTTTACAAATGTTAAAAAAAATTAGTTACTATTCTTCAATATAAGTTGAAAGTATTTCAGTATATTACAGAGTAAATTTACGTCAATTGACAATATACTATGTAAAAAATTGCTGATTGATCATTAATTTGTACGTATTGCGAATAGCTAGAGGCCACCAATCTCTTTAAATATTGTTAAAATGTATACTTGACAGGAAATTTAGTTGACATTTCCAAATACTTAGAGATTAATAATTAGATTTTATTTCCACCCAGTCGGAGTAGAATTTTTTTTTCTGCTGTTTATAACAGAAGTTCTCGGCTACATCAGTAACAGATTATTACAACATTCTTACGCTTTGAAATTTTAAGTGTTGAAACAACAAAAAGTCATGACTAACTCTACGTTATTAAAATTACGTTAACTAATGTTAATAGTAAGAATTCGTACGAGTGTATGAGTATGGCTCGTAACGCAGTAGGAATTTGAAAAAAAAAAAGTGGTAGTTGTACACGAGTAAGGAATGTTGCAAAAATTCTAGCTTTTGGATTAAACCAATACAGATTAAATAGTGGGAAAAAATGGTTTACCAATTTTTTAAATCAACACTTATGCGTTATACTTGGAACTATTAAAATATAAGGTTCCGACTGCAACTTTAATTCGAGCTGGTTGGAGCTCTCTGCCTTGAAACGTTAACACCTAATATAGCTGTAGCTGTTTTAGTATATGTTCAAATGTTGAAAAATTTATAATATTTTAATGATGTTGAAAGCTAATTTTTTCTACTCTAACATAACTTTTCTGTGAATATATTATCAATATATTTTTTTCTGAGAGTTGCTTATACCAAGAAAAGTAGCTCTCCACGCGACTCATAAAATTGCCTTTACAAAGAAGCTTTTAGAATTGTTCAAAAATAATTAAAATAACATTTACAATCCAATGGATAATGTGAGCACGAGAATGTTGGTGCGTGACTTTGTTTTGGTAGCAAGATAGTTTTACGCTCGTAATTTCAGCAAAGCTTGAAATAATGTTAACTTTTTAGTAATGAAACAGAAAATTCAGAGCTAGTAACTACCCCTTGTCCATTAAATGTGATGAGTCCTAATGTGGGTGAAATTTATTTATTAATACAAAAAACTAATGTAGAAAATACTAATCTGAAGTTTCTTCATTAGCGATATCCACAAATCGCAAGAAAAATATTTTCTTTACCATTTTACTACATAGTAATACTAAAATAGAAAAACATTTTGAGATACTTGGTTGAAACAAGAAAAAAATTAACTAATGATACACAGCAAACATATAAAAAACAAATTGAACGATAGTTCAGCTCCAGATAAGAATCGGGATTTTATGGAAAAAAAAGGATTTCTAATAAGTGATTAGAAGCCCAGAAATAGCTCGCGTCATAGAGTTGGAAAGCAAAATTGAAAAAAATAAATAAATAATGTGGAAATTAAGGGGGTTGTATCACAACGGTCAAAAACTTAGAAATCTCTTTAAAAAATGTATATGAACTAAAAATAATTTACGGATACAGGAAGGTATAGGCAAACGGTTCATTTCTTATTTTCTAATTTGTTTCCCGTTTTTTTTACTAGTTGGTAACCTAGTGCATTGTAATTTGTAATAAAAGGCTACATGTATAGTAACATCTTTTGAAAAATAAACATATTAATAACAAATTTATAAAAAAACGGATTCATCAATTTTGTATGATAATATAACCTCCTTACTACATATCACTTGTTTCTTAGAACTTCTTAAACTCGATAATTTTGCAAGTCTCAAATAAAAAATGTTGATTACATAAATGTAGACTTGACAGAAATAGATACGCTATGTTATAGATCTGGATGAAATGAATCTTGCATAAATATTCTAAAAAACAGAGTAGTATAAAACTGAAATTCGTACTAAAAATTTAAAAATTTACAAAATACATCTATTTTCTCCTACTCTTCACAATATACTCTGAAAATTTGTATTCTACGTCATCTCTTCGGGACACTCATCAAAAAATATTTCCATAACATTTTATATTCATGATATGATTAAACAAACATTTTTTTTTTTTAATTTTACCTCACTACTCGGTAACATAAACTTTTAGAACTCCTCAAAAAACACAAAAAGTAAATTCAAACGAATGAGCTATAACGTAAATTTTTTTTCAATTTTTAGTCGACTTAACGATTTTCCATTATCGTAGGCGTTCTAATCATCAGTAATCTTTTCTGCAAAATTTGAGTGTTGGTAATAAAACGAGTTTATCTGAAATTCCGAATTTCTTGAGTTTTCAAAACTCGCGCTCAAAGTTGTGAACACAGCCTGATATTTACTGATTGGCCAAGCAGTCGACGTACGTTTTGGGTCTGCAGCAGATTGTAGTCGCCCCCTAAACGACCCATCATCATAATGTCACGCACAGCGCAAGGTTAAGTTGACGTTTCCAGAAAAATTCGTTTTTGTCGATTCTCAAGTTTATTCAACAGTTTTTAGTACGTACTGTGGCTCCTGTATTAAAAAAATGATCGATTGAAGCGTGAGTGGCAACCATAGCTACCTATACCCGTGCAATGTCGCGTACAAAACTTCCTCCAGCTCGAACGTCGTGACATTGCCCAGCTTCTGCAATATTGGGACTATCTTTGGAAACAGCAACGAAAAACCATGTTTTCCCCGTTGACGTTGAGCTCGCCCTCGATGAGCTCGCCAGGATCAGTGGCCCTGGAGACGGCCAAAAGCCTGAAGGACCAGGTGACGTTCAAAGTGCCAACGGCTCCAGCGAAGAGGAGCAGAGCCAGGGTCCTCGACGAGGAGAGCTACATCGAGAAGGTGGGCGAGATCATACAGAGGGACTTTTTCCCCGACTTGGAGAAGCTCAAGGCGCAGACCGAGTACATCGAGGCTCAGGAGCACAATGACATCAAGAAGATGAGACAGCTGTACGAGAAGTACAGCTTTGGGCGACCGCGACCCGAGAGGCTGCCCAGTCCTGCAACGTTCGAGACTCCCGTCAGTAAAGGAAACGTGGAAGAGGACGAAGAATCTGTGGCTGCCGATGCTGCGAGTGAAGCCAAACAGGACAAGAGCGAGGAAAGGAAGGTTGGGCTCGATGAGTTTTTGAGCAACAATACCAGCGAGGACAACGCTAGCTTCGAGGACATATTGGTGGAGAGTGACAAGAAACACAGGCTCAAGTATGCTTGGCTCTACAAGCCAGAGTCGGAGCCACAGCTCGCTATAGAGAACAGTAAGCTTTTGGCTATCGAAAATGGGAGTGCAAAAAGGCCATTTGCCATAGACACTTGGAGTTACAAAAATAAGAACTACATAATGTATATACCCGATGGAGTCGAGTTGACTGCGGAGGAGAAAATCGAATTTGCCAAGAGGAGGCAGGAGGTTGTGCATTCTAATACAAGGTTGAAAATTAATCCTTTCAACGAGCAGCAGAATAAGGAAACCATCAGTGAACTAGCGAAGATACAGTCCAAGACGAATGATGGAAAGATAGGCATAGACGGCAAGGAAATACTAAAAAATGAGACGCCAAACGTAAATGGGTATACTTTTGTGGCAACACCAAGTCTGAGTCCGAGTCCAATGCCTAGTCCCATGCCCGAAGATATATTAGGTAGTCCTATCATGACTTGGGGTTTCATTGATGGAACTCCATTTAGACTGGACGGTGGTGATACTCCTGTGGTGCATGTGAGTCAAGGTCCTTCTTTTAGAATGGCAGAACCGCCCAAAAGAGAAAAAATTGCTCTGCAATTGGCAGAAAAAGCTGGAGAAAGAAATCGAGACAAAAAAATGAAAGCTTTGAATGCTGCAAGGAGATCTCTGGCAACGTAAGTTACATGCTTAACTAATTGTTATCAATTATAATATCATATTGATTCTTCTTGATGTTTTTTTATAAATTTTTACACACGTAGACAATAAAAGTAGAACCAAATGTATTAATTTATGTTAAAAATTAGTTACTAAAACGTTAAAATGTAAACTTTAACTCTCAATTACATTTATTTGCACATGGTTTATCATTCATTGTTATATAAGTTTGATTTTTACATTAAAAATATTACTTAATCATCATTCTGTAAAAATATATTTATGATACCTTATCTGTTACAGGCCTTCACCATCGCCAAGATCAACAATTGATCGCTTGAATACTATGTCACCAGCTGCAAGAAGATTCGCGACACAGAAGCTACGAGTAACCGTCAGCCCATCACCAAACAGATCACCATCCGTGAGAACACCTTTGTTGGGAGTCAGGACGCCTAACACGCCGAGGTCTGGTACATCTTGTATGAAAATTGGTGGGAATGATATTGGCTTGAAACCACAAATGCCTATATTGACTGACAACCTACTGAAATTACCTCAGAGGCAAAGAGCCGCTGATTTCTTTAACGATTAACTTTAATGATAAAAAAAACTTGTTGGTTATATTTTGAGAAAACTTAAAAAAGTGATTATGCTTGTTAACTGTACAAAAAGTATTTTTTTAAATGAAATTTGTAAATATAGATCTTGTGCTAAGTGTTGAATGTAAATTATTAGTACACGTAGTATAAGTTATTCATACATAAGGAGATTGTATCATACACTTTATTATTCTTTCAACTAAGAGTATACATTAAAATTACAACTCAAAAGTATAGTGTCTTTATTTAAAATAGTTCATTACGAAAAAAAAAACGTGTTTGTTCTATAATTATTTTTGAGATAGTTTTTTAGATTAACTATTTCACTAAAACAGTGAAATTTTTATAAATTTGTAATGTAATTTAATTGTATGAAATTAAATTAATTATTAATAACATATTTATAAATATAGTATGCCACTGGTATTCCAAAGCATCACTGCTTAACTGGACTGCCTTATATTTTTACTAGAGAAAAAAACGTAATCATATGTGAATAATCGTTGCTTGTGTTCAACAAATTTTAAATTTGATCAAAAAGTGATCTAAGAGATTCTATTTTTACCGACTGCTATCGATTCAGACTATTTTCAATAACTTTTATGTCAACTCATGTTGAAATTTGACATACCTTTTTTGTTGATGAATTGAATTGAATGTTGTAGGTATTCATTTTACAACAAGTTATGATTACAATAATCGTATTGCTTGATAGTGTAGTATTTTAATGTAATTTCCTCCAGTAAAGATTTTTATTGCAGATAACACAAAGTGTCGATTTATTTATCTACTACATTTACACTAACTTGAGTGGTTTATTTATTCATACACTTGATTGTGAATTGGTATAATTTATACCTTTGCACATATAAGGGACTTTTTAGATTACAAATCCACCATATTTATATACAAAGATCATCGTTAAATATGTTTTATATAATCGTTTTTCACGCTTAAAATTATCACCATTACATTTTTGTACAGAGTTTAATTTATTTATACAGTAAGTTATGCCATTCATAAACAGCTCGCGGAGCCAAGTCTTTGTTTTACAAGGATATTTTTCTCGTTGAACACAGCTGTGACAAAATCGAGTGTGCATTAATTGCATCGGAAATCGGACCCACGAGTACCTTGACCCCTTAGACTGGGCTTTTTATCTAACTATCACCCTTTCAATCTCTATAAGTTAAAAACTAAAATTAAAATTAAAATTATTTTTTTTACCCAATAAATTTTGTCATCTGAATAAAAAAATGTTTTAAAATGACAATCATCACTATAATTTTATACAGGTACAACCTAAGCCATACGCTTCCAAAGTAAGATATAATTGTAAACATAATTTTAATTTAAGTGAGTTACATCTTATATCAGTATGTAGAAAAAGAAACTATTTTACGTCAATAATAATAATAATAATAATAATAATAATAATAATAATGATAATAATAATATTAATGATGATGATAAT